TGAACTCTGAAAAACTCCATTGATCCCATAGGAAAAACCTCCACTAACCTAGCTAGGACTACAGCTTGTTGTCACATCAAAAAAAAGCACAGTTTCATTGAAAAAAACCTTCAATCCCACTCACCTCCACCCAGCATCATGATTTCAGGTTTAGAAGTTAATTCACATTATTTACTGTCACAGAAAACTACTTGAAAATCCTAACATTATTTGAAAACTGCTGCAGGAAAAATATGAGTTTACATTTTCAAAGTTCAAGAGAAAAAAAATTGTTCAATAGTGGGGAATAAATAGGGTAACAAAATTGATAGATAAATTCTATTGATTTTAGCATAGGGGAAACTGATAGGAGTTTGCAGAAATGAGTTGAAGCATTCTCTCTTTTTTTTTAATTTATAATGCAAAATTTTCATGACAATAGAAAATTTGAATACTCTTTGTACAATGCCATTCTACAGTGATAAGACTAAATTGTACAGAGTAATTGTGAACACTTATAGGAGAAAAAAAAACAACAACAAACCAGACTTCTTCAAACGGGAGGTACAAGATGCTCCATGAAAAAAACAAAACAATTCATTTCAGGTAGTCTCATCTGTCACGGTTCGTGACAGACATTCAGCCTTACATTTGTAAGATAAAGAAGGAGATCTTCACTCAGAAATGCCTCAATGCCTCTCCTGTTTCTGCTGGGGAAGATGCTTTTAGCTGATGTCTTGTGCATTGGAGGTCTCTTCCAACCTTTAATGATTCTATGATTCTATGATTTCGGTTTCCATACAAGCACAACCTTTTGGAGTAACCTATACCATGTTCCAAATCATGTAAAATCCCCATTAAATGTAAAACAGTAGCTACTGGCCCTACAGAAGACTGCAGTGCTGGGCAACACTCCCTGCTCATAATGAGCAGCTGCATAGTTCAGGGATATAAATTAAAGGGATTTTTTTCCTTTTTAGAACCAGGCTTTTCCCTCTTTTTCTTTTTTTTTTTTTTTTTTTTTGCAGACATGGTACTTCTGAATGGTTGGTCCTATTTTCAAGACTAAGAAACTTCAACTTGTACTTTTCGCGTGCACTGACAAAGAGTATCAAAGGCTCAGTTCTGTAAGTTACAAAGCCTTCCCATGTGACATCCAGAGCTCTCCAGTCCCATCCGCACCAGCTGTAGTGGAGGGAACAAGGCTGAGTGCTAAAGGACTCGTGTCCAAGTTTGTATTAGTCATAGCATGTATCAGGGCAGTCCTGTAAGAGTAGTTAGGTTCAGTTCTCAAGTTGAACGGCCTTAAACCCCTAAAAGAAGGTGGCTCTGTGCATGCTGCCTACTGGGAACAGTCCCTGGCCCATCTAACCTCCGAGCCATGCAGATACAGTCCTCGGGAAAGCGCTACCTGGCCCGTGCTCAAAGTGCAACAGGGAGCACTCTACCAGCTTACCTGTGTAGGCAAGTCATACTGTGTCCTGGCACCGCTTAATTAATCAGTGTAGACATAGCCTCTGTGTCTTTCTGACCAGCTTAAAAGCAATCATATTGCTTTTCCACTTCTTGTATGTTTTGTTTCTTTGGCTATGCTGGGCCAGATTTACTGTGAAGCATTTTTGTGTATGTGTAGTGGATCCCCGTCACAGGTGATACTTTAACAGTCCCCTTAACACAAATAAAATTTCTCAGCTGTCAACATACATTTATTTATTAGATTCATAATATTATTGCACAGTAAATGTCTGTGTCAAGCAAGTGGCAAATCTCCAGAACTTCAGAGTTCAGATTTTGTTTGGAAAAGTATCCAAAAATGTGGATGTTCATCTACAGTGTACGCAGATTATTCAAGATTTTTGAAACTGCAAAAGCAGGCTGGAAATTTTACAAGATTGTAAATTCTTATAGCATTTCCAAGCTTAGCAATGGATTCCAGCACTGCCTGGAAGTGGACTGCAAAGTTATAAAACTTTGTAAGGTCGTCAAAAAAGCCCACTATCAGAACAGCCTATTTTGATGCTTATTTTGTCAAAGGTGAGTTGTTTTACAGAACTGAGAGGAAAGTTCAGGGTTCGTTCATTTTTGGGTTTGTTTAAGCTGTTTCAGTCTCTGCTACAGCCATCAGGAACTAGAAGGACAGGAGTGTGAGAAAAGAAAAATGTACAAATTCTGTCACTGTTTTCTGTCATTTTAGCTTCAAGATCCAGGCCCTAAAAATGGTTTCTTTTGCAATGCTAAAGAATCACCTGAGCTGACCACTGTTGCTGTGAACGAACCTTGAATTAAGAAAGGAAAGCAAGTATATTTGAAGTAAACTATCCCTTTTTAATTTTAACATTTAAATGATCAAAAGAAAATAGAGCCAACAAATGTTGAGAATAGGTGAAGAGGAGAAACGATAGTCAATCCAAATTTGGCCTTCTCAAGAAAAAAGACACAGAGAAAGCAGCCATAGGTCTGGTGACGGTTCAAACTCCCTTATGGATGTAAAAAGAAATGACAGTTCTGAATATATAAACAAGAAATGATGGACTCAAAATTATTCCAAAAGGTTGCCAACATAAAGTGTCAAGGTGTTTAGATTTCTAGTGAATAGACTGAACCGAACAAAAAACTGGTCACCATGTTTTCAACTAATTAAAATGGTACCTGGAAGTATTTAATTTTCAGACAAGATTTTTGTGAGGTGAACAGGGATTTTTACCTGAGAAGAAGACAGGAGGAGACAGACACAGACTTAAGACTGCCTTTTCTGATCAATGATGGATGAATATCAGACACATTTAAAGTTGTGAATCCTATACCAGAAATCATCTCTTTTCTCCCTTCATAACTTCCACAGGAAAACATTCACTTTTTCCTGCATTAGCAACCTCAAAACTTGCTTCAAAACCAATGTTTTAAGAATTTTTTAGGGGGACAGATGAACACTTCCAAAAGGATTTGCTTTCATTCCAACACGGAATGAAAACAAATTCTGAAACCTTGAAAGTTGCCCTGAAACAGAACTATCACTTTTTGGTTAGCCCTACTAAAACAACCCTCTGCTCTTTGGTCAAGCATCACCTGTAACAACAAATTTCACCACTCAAAAGCAACTGGCTTAAAAGAGGTCTTAATCTGAGGACTTCCTTAGCTCTTTCAGAAGAATGTTTGATGGGACTATCAAAAGTAGCTCTAGCAATGCTAAACCTGAAACTGCAGCTAGGCCAACGAATCATTTTTTTCTCCTCTAAAACTTGTTTTTACAGCTTGAAATATTTCTCATGATTGCAGCCATGAGTTGGAATAAAGACACTGGTCACTTCAAAATTTAAGACTGCTTTGACTGAATAAGAAAGACTATGAAAATGTAAAATTAAAAAAGCACTGCTCTCTTGCTGATATTGACCAAGTATATTATTGGCAATCATGTGCCTATTGCCAATCAAAGGAAAAAATATTTAAACGTTAGAGTGATGTTTGCATTCATTTAATTGAAAGATTAAAAGCATCTGATTGATGAGGGCATGATGCGCACTTGCTATTAGCAATACTTAAGCTGCCTAAGGTGTCTAATTCCAAGTCTACGGTTGTACCGACACACTACTCATTAAGAAGTAAACAGCAAATGAGCACTTCTCCAAACACTAGTTGTTGACCGCAGAAAAATTTGCCAGCATTGCTGGGGACACCTTTGGTAGGGCAATTCAATGCATCTTTATGGAAAACATTTCTTGCAGATGACATTGTCAATATGGTAAGATGAACAAACAATAAAGAAAAACATTCTGCAAAACTAATTTCCATTAAAGTGTACAATGCTGTAATGTATAAAATGAACAAATACAAAGTGTACAATAATTCTCTCTGTCGTTCATGAGTGTAACAAAAGCTTTGGCTCAGGTAGCTTCATTATGTTATTCTTGTTCGCAGAAGTAAATAGATCCATCAGTTAATACAATGGCTTATTATGAAAGGACTGAAGAATGAGCATAGTGTTTCATCTAGGCAGAAGATGAGACAGAATGTCTCTTTGAAGCAGTCTTGATGCTTCAGAGGTTTGCTGGAGCTAATGGAGAGAGACGATGTGGAAAATTGCCTCCTAAAGGTTGAGTCAGTGTGGTCCCTGGGGTTTTCTTCCCCCCCACCCCTCTCTTTTGGACAGAGAGAAAGGGAAAGTAAATCTTTATGACCACTATTCTTACATTTTAAAAATAAGATCATTGTGTTGGGAATCACCCTACACTTCAGTAAAGAATTATGTCACATGGCAACTGTGTTCTCTAGCACCAAGCTTCCTACAATGTGAAAAGATTTAATTGTGAATACTTTATAAGTATTGGAACTGAAGTGCTAGGGTTGCATGTCGCACAGTTTCTCTAAACAGCGATCAGAAGTAAAAGAGCGGATGATGTACGTAGGAATGGCCTGTGAAGGCTCTAAGCATTACAAACCATTTCACTGAATTTCAGAATTACACTACTTGAGGGTTTACACAACTTTCAGTTATGTTAAAAAAAAAATCCTACAATTTCTACATACTTATGTCGGCGGATTACATTTTAAAACAAATCAAAACAACAGTAACCAGTCAGATCTTTGCCTTGTTTTTTTCTTATCTTTTCCCCTCTGACTAAATGACTGCAGTTAGGAAAGACAAGACTGAATTCGACCATCTCTAACTCAAAATACCAAACTGCAGTAGACAAGAAACCTCGGGAGATAACAAACTTGAGAGTTACTCTGAGCCTGCCAATGATAATAGTCCTTCAGAACAAGGACCTAACCTTACAATTTCCTTAATAGTGACTTATTACAGTGTAAATGCGTGGGGGAGTCATATTTTTGCTGATGGATAAAGATTAATCCATCTTTATGTAGCCTATTTTTATAGAATTAACAGGATGGATTTCAACCTACTTGCTTTTAGACAACTCTTCAAGTAGAGCACTCCTGGTTTTCAATACACAGACATTTTCAAAAACTATTTAAAGTCTATTATTTTTCATTATAGTCAAGAGAAACATCGATTTGCTCACCTTTGCAGTTGCCCCGGTAGGCTATTTCCAGCTGAGGGTCTTTGCATTTTGCTCGTTGAAATTCACACCGGGACAGAAAAGTTCTTCCATCAGATGCACAGAGTGATTTCTGAGGGGAACCTGCACAGTCCAGGCTGCATTCTCTGTCTTTGTCTTGGTCCACTCTCAAAAACTAGAAAAAACAAATTAATGCTGTAGGAATGCTGTTCCCATATGAAAACTGCTCTGTGATCCCCTTCCCCAGGGACCACATGCAAATATTACCCAAAACTGAAAAGAAAGCTGTCTTTTTAGCCTATTCAAATAACAGTTGATTCATCATATCTGGGGTTATTCAGCTGCTGCTTTGAAATGGTAGTGATTGCAACATTTCTGTAACATACACTAAATCCATTATCGCAATTAGGAAATCCCTGAATCTCCTTCAACCATTATGAAGCTGAAAACAGCAGCTTGGAGTCTTTAGAGCAAAACTGATGATGGCAGAAACATTCTTCACAACAAAAATGAGACAGCAATGGAAACTTGTCTATTTTATTAGCTATGCACTAACTAGCTGAAAAGTCTGTTCTAAGATCCAAATAGGATTTTTAACATCTATACTCATCTAAAATTATAACCATAGCATGTCCAATAGCCTCAGTGCAAGAGGCCTGAAGAGAAAATGAGCGAGGTAGGAGAACCTTATGAAGCACCTTATGAAACAAAACAGATCATTTATACTTGCAATGCCCATATTCAAAATCTAAAGATTCCTCAACAAAACAGAAATTTCAGATATATTTTATAGAAATATTTGTATTTGTGCATATGCTTGCCTATAAAAATACATGCCAAGATTGAAGAGGGAAATGTTATAGCTTGCAGTTTTTCCAGTGAGACCATTCTTATAACATGCACGATGGAGTCTTAGCTGCCATTCCAAAGTGCCCACCATGGGTGAGCAGAAAAGACAAAACCTGAACCAGGCTGTGTGTTGTGTGCAAAAGAATCTTGAGTCAAATTTTTTTTTTAATTTGTTACAAACTAACAAAAACTTCTGACTGCTGTTCTGAGCATGTTCTGAGCCCTGGCATGGGTTGCCCATGGCTGCAATCCCTCAGAGGTGTCCCTGCTATAGCATGGGTTGCCTATGGGCCACGGTCCCTGCGGGCTGTCCTTGCGCCAGTGTGGGTCACCTGTGGGCCACAGTATTTTTTTTCTGGACTGGCACAGGGCAGTTCATGTCCTTCTCTCACACTGGAGAGCCCTGCAAGGCCCCTGCTACTCAAACCCTGTCAGTTCTGCTCATTGCACCACACATTCTCCCTTTATCAGAAATACAATCTCATCTCCTCCAGAATACAGTGCGTGGGTATAGGCTGACAAAAGTAATTAAGGTTGTTCCCATTATGCATTTCAACAGATGCTCCCCTTTCTAGTTCTGCCACGAAGCCACACTGAACCTGGTCTAACTGTTCATCCCTTCACCCCCAAGACTGCAGGCACAGCTGATGAGTTTGGCATCGTCCTTGGCACTGTGAAAAGCAGGAGCTGCTCCCCCTGAAACACGCTGCCAAAAAACTAATTGGTTCTGATGCCGCTGCATGCCAGCCAAAACCAAAGATAGTACTTTATCTTCTGAGCTCCTGAAAAGCGGGGACTAGGGAGGAAGTGAACTCAGTCCTCAGACAAATTTCTCTATCATTTTGCTGTTTCTGAATAAGCACAAAATTAAGCAAGGCATGTAGCTACCAGGAGATAATCATTCTCCTAAGCATTAGGAGGCACCTGAGAAAAGGTCTTCGGCTGAAGCACTGGTTTTCTTGATGCTACTTCATCCTCATAAACCTCAGGTACAGAAAATTTTGAACTTCAGATTAGAAACTGAGACTACTGGGAGGAAAATTTCAAGCAAAAAAAGAGGACAAAGAGTAGTATTTGAGCAGGAAAGAGTAGTACAAGCTAAAAAATTCAGAAAACATTTGCTACATATAGTTTCCCTGCATTTTATTACACAAAAAAAAAATTATAAAGAGAGTCATAAATCTCCATAACCTTCATACTTAAACTGTGGTCTATTTGCATTTCCTATCACTTAATGTGAGGAAATACAGATGCCTTTCTGGAGATCATGCCTGAAAATGGAGAGACAATCTTAAAAGTATCACTTTAAAATAATAGTCATGGGATTGGATTTTGACCAGAATTTTTATGTTTTAGTGGCACAGTAACATAAAAAGGAAAGCTTCCTTTTCCCGATGTTTTTGAGCAATTTTTCATTTTTAACAATAATTAGCTTCAGAAGCAAATTACTTACAAATTACACACAAACCCCAAACCTTTATTCCTGGAATTTAGCTATAGAGCTCCAGAAGTGGGCAAGAGATGTTCCTTCCCGACCCCTCCAGTGCTATTTTGCAGATCTTTTTTGCTGACGGAAATTAATAATTAGCTGACCTGAGTGGGAAGGGAGAAAAACTGAAGTCATCTCCCTTTGCCTGCAAAATGAGCAGTAATGAAGACAGGCTTCCATGACTCTTACCAATCTCCAAATGACGTTGGTCTCCAGGGCCTGACCAGGTGCCCTGATGAGCAGCAGTGTGGGGGGGCCCGGTGAGGTCCTCCAAGCCTCCCTTTCTTGCCTGGGAGGCATCTGCAGGGCTCCAGGTTTAAGCCTAGCTTGGACCATAAAAAGGACTTTTCAAGGAAAAACGGACCACATGGGGCCTCTGGCAGAAAAATTGGACCCAGTCCCCTGCTCTGCCTCAGACTTCCCCTGGAGATTTGGTGATGGCAAGTCAAGTGATCTCCCTCTTCCTATTTTGTAAAGTAAGGATCTGAGTACAGGCTTTCTGTGTGTATAAGACTACCCCTCTGTAATGGCTAGGCACTTTGCCACCCTTAATTTATCCTCAGCAACATCCCTGTTGAGCAGAGAATTATTTTTCAAAAGCACAGGAAGGCTTCGTGACCCACAGAAAATCATGTGGTAGATCAGGGAACTGAACCCAGGCATCAGAAAAAAATCACACGGAGCAACAATCTAGCCTCTGTCCCATTTTTCTCCCAGACTTTCCTCATCTTTTCTGTTTTGAGTTGTTGCAGGAGTTAAGATGGGTATGCCTGATCACAGTGGACAAACCACAGTAACACAGTGGACAGAAAATCCCCTTAATCGTCTGATGAACAAAATCCACTCCCTTGAGAGCATGATAGTTCACAGATAAAGCTATATTTTAAAGGGCATTTATCCAAAGAGTTTTATTTAAGTATTTTATTATTTCAAAGCCTTAGAGGGGATTAGGGTAAATTATGGGTTCAAGGATATTCAAGCAACCTGGAAAAGCAGAGGATGAAGACATACCCGGGAGACAAAACCACTTGAATAGCTTGTTGGTTAGCCAAACCTCACTGGAGAATTTGGGTTGTACATTTAAACAATTTCCACCAAGTTAGCGTAACTGAGGGATTTAAGAGCAGGAAGGACAAAAAGGCAAGCAACTGCAAGAAAAGATACCGTACAAGAGAGACTAGCAAATGTACTTATAAAAAAAAGATAGAAAGTATGTGATTGACATGTGGAAAATACTCCATTGTCATCTTCACTACAGCAGCGTAAGATGATACAAGTCCAAACCTGCATTGCTTACTCACATGTAGCCAACGGAATTGATAAATATGTCAAAACTAATAAAAATACTGAAATAAGCAAGGGCTATGGGATTTCTCATGGGATTTGATATTTGTTTAAACAGGAACAAGCAGAGTCAGTGACAAAAACTGGGATCATACCGATGTACATCTTAGAGCTGTACTTTCCTGTGAAAATATTCCTTTTGATTAAAATAGGACAGTTTAGAGAGAGAGAAAGATGGTTCTAGATGGACCAGAAGGTGACTCACCCTGAATACAGGCTCATCTATTTCTGTCTTTAAGTTCATTTCACAAACAAATCTGTTATTGTACAAACATGTGATTCACTGAAAGACAAGCTTACAGCATTTTTGTTGAATGCTGGTAGCAACTGAGATGAAGCCAGCAATAGTTGACCAACCTGAGGTGGAATTATTTTGAACAACCAGCAAAAACTGGAGAATTATGGTTAAACCCTATTAAAAAGCAAACCACTTCTGACAGGGAAGTATTCCTGTCTCTAATAACACAGAAACCAGCCTAGTCAAGTTTCAGAAAATTGTTTTCAACTACAAATTTGAGTTTATGTTACAGATTAACAGGTATGAATCCTCAACTGGAGTTGCTTTATCTTCTGCTTTACATTTTAATATAATAAAAAAATTTTACAGCCTTCAATTTATTTCAGCCTTTCCAAAGCATTATATTTTACAACAACCAATTTCCAAGGGGCCTACTATTCTATACTAGGCACTGCTTTAAATTCTCATGTAGTATTTCTGAGAATAAGGAATGCTAATGGGACTATATCAGAAATAATCTTGACTATTAAGTTTACCTCAGTTAATAAAACCAAAAGTCACTATAAACTGCAGGTACCCACTTGACAAATATAAGCATTGATAAAATATTATTTACTGTCATGTGTTTCACGCATCACAGAATTCCAGTATTTTCCTTCACTGTCTCACACACCAAAGGCTCTTAATGCTGGTTGAAATGTGTCCCCCTGTAGCGTCAGCAGTCCCAGTGATCTTTCATCCCTCTGTTACTGGAGTTTGGTAACACTAGAATTGTCAGCATACGAAGTAGTAGATACCTGAAACCTGGCTTACACTGGGGAAAATTATTTCTACTCTGTTTTCTGCTCTGTTTTCTGCTCTGCTTTATCTTTCAGCTTTGTTCTTGTCACTGGTCCCACATCTGGGCTGTGGACAGTCAGGATGCTTATTTCCTCAACCACAAGCAACACGTTGCAGTCCATGAGAAAGTTTTTCCAATACCTCAAGAGTAGGCATTCGATGGTTTCTTTACTGCGCTATTAAACCATTTATCAAGATAACATGTCCATAAACTTGTTCACTGCGGGCATAACACATATCTTCTCTTTACCTTACACTATCCACTCATGCAGGGATTCAGTGGCATTCCCTCTGGTCTACCTCCTGCCTCCACATCACCACTAGGGCAGAAAAGGTCTTCAGATGAAACTGAGTCACGTGCACATTAGTACCTTTCCAGTGCACAAATCTGTGATCCCACCGTCTATAGCACAGAGCAACTCTCTTTCCACCGACGCAGATCACAGAGTATAGTGGGAGAAAAATGGTGCATGGCCAGAGAGTCAACAACTGGATACAACTACAAGCCAAACTGCCAGTGCAAGAAAGCAGAAGAGTCGAGACCAGTGTTACAGTCACGGGGAGCACAGGCACCTCTCTCCATTGGAGGAAAAGCTGACAACAGATGCACTTAGGCTGAGGCGTAAGGATTAGTTATTGAATCTGGCTCACAGCCTTTTAAACAGTAACGGGAAACACTCGACTCTACATTTCACAATATAGTGCACAGCTGTGGGTTGTCTTTGGTCACAGGCCACTGTCTGATTAATCTGAACAAAGCAGGGGAGTGTTCCCCAACTTCTTTTTTTTTTATTATTTTTTTTATTTGGGCCAGCTTAACTCTAAGAAAGTTTACTTGCAGTCTTGTAGAGACATCCTTAACACAAACAGGCTGCACACAAAGCCTAACTCATAACTATGCTAAACCTATTTTTACTTTGCCCTAATGTAAGTTTTCCTACTACAGCTGAAGACCCAGAAACTGCTTCTTTTCTGTCTGTGGAGAGAAACTCCATTCTCTTCTATGAGATCAGGTTGGAGTCTGTGTACTAGGAAAAAGACAGACCTTCAAGTTCATGGATTTGGATTGTCCACCAGAGGTTTTCAACCTTTCTTCAATTTATAGACCCCTTCAATTTCCACTGGACCTATACACCCTCCACTGACACTAGGTATTTAAACATACTGACAACAGGTTTTTATTCTGTTAATTTTTGTGGACCCCTTATAACTGATCTACAGATTTTCCCTCTGAACAAGTGAAAACTACTGCTTCAGAACCTAAAATGAATCATAGAATCATAGAATCATTAAGGTTGGAAGAGACCTCCAAGATCATCGAGTCCAACCGTCAACCCAACACCTGCTTGCAAAACAGGAGAACACCTCATCTTGGGGGGCTGAAGGCCAAAAAGGCCTGAAAAATGAGCAGAAGAGAAAAGATGGATGCTAGACATCACTGTTTTGCTTGGAAAAGTCTAGCGCAGACTATAGCTTTGAAAGGCAATTTCTTTATCCTGCATCTGGTTACTGTAAGATGTTGAATAGAATGGTCTGACTTCCCTGCTGCTGGCATGGGAGGTCTGAGAACAAACCATGGAGCAGCACGCTCTAAAGTGGCTCTGTGCTTAGGGCTTTGTGCTGTTGAAAAATGTGCTGATTTACAGTGATTTATGTAGCCATGCTGTTTCTGTCTGATAGCTGCCTGAAGGGCAGATGTGGAAATCTCTGAGCTAGGAATATTTTGTTCCCTCCGGGCTTGTCTACAATGGGAAAATGAGTTAGACAATAGTAATACGTACGTGTGTGTGTGTGTGTGTGTATGTACGTGTGTGTATATATACACACACGTCTCTATATATATCCACACATGCAGGCTATAATATGTAAAGTCATATTCCCATGTACATTTCAGACAAATGCAATGTTGTTTAAATATCAACATGCTACAGTCTGCCTTAGAGAGCACTCTAACCAGCTAGTCTGTCTCAGTTAATCTGCTTTATTAAAACACCATTCATTTTTTCAATATTTATTTCATCACTTTTCTGCCAAGGAATGAAGCAGAAGGTACATTTACAGAACAAACCCTACTCTCATCCCAATGCCAACAAAAAGCATTCAACCCTAGCACTGAAATGTACGGAAAACCTAAGTCCTCCTTATCCATATTATTGAGTTATTTAGGACAGTACCAGAAGATACATTCAAAATGACAACTCTGTATAACTTCTGTATTTAACCTATCTTTAACAGATTAGTTCACCTTGTGCTGTCCCACTGAAGCAAAACAGTCCTTCGTGACTGTTCCAGGGCAAGCCCAGAGCTGCCTGCTTCAAATTGTGACCTCCTTCTTTGTCCAGAAGAGGAGGACTTTGACCTTCCATTAAGGTTAAGCTTGCATGGAAGAATTTACACAGAAAGCCATCACACACAGGACTAATCAGATGTTATTCTGATGAGCTAGAATGT